CCTTAACCCTGTGCCACGGGTGTTTCCTCAGTGCTCGCTCACTTCACCATGTGGTACTGAAATTTTACTCAGTTCCTTCCTACAGGTCTTAGCCCAGGTAGGGTGAGTCTTTAATCCTCTTTTACACCCTGTGGCAGAGCTACAGAGTGCTCCCATTTGGAACTGCCTGCCTGCCCATTTCAAACTTCAGACCACCATCGAGCAGTGCTATTCAGCAGCCATCGGCACTTGCCAGTGCACCAGGGCTGTATTTACAAACCTAACTCCAAGATATCTTTGTGTCTGGTCCTGTGCCGAGCTCAGCCCGGCTTGTACCAAGCAACGTGTCTCCCTAGTGACCTCACCTGGCATTTTTCATCTTGTGCCCTCTTTTCTCTCCTGCTGCCACCTGAAAGCAGTGAGGAGCTGCGCTGTGTAGCTGAGGAGCAGCAGTGGTGAGGAGCCTCTGCCCTCTTGGCTTTCTGCCGCTCCAGCTAGAGTAACGCCAGCTACCAAGAAGGAATAACCCACAAGGAGTCTAATGAAACGGCAATCTGGCATTAAGATGTGTATATAGTTGCCATTTGTTAAATTGACAGATGACATTTGGAACACGCAGCCCCTATTCTTTTTTAAAAGCTAAATACTCTCTTGAAATAAAGTCTTTGCCATTAGTCTTAAAGCTGATTTCCAGCCCAGACAGGGCCAGCTGTGCTTTTACACATTTCTGGGCACAAGGTCAGTTTCCTAGCAGCTATAAGATTTTCTTTGCAATGAACAGGACAACTCGTGAACAATAAACAATTACCTGCCTCCCACATTACCTTGGACTCTACCTTTATTTTTTTCCCCTGCTACCTTTCCATGTAGGATTCTTTATACAAGAAAAAAATATAGAGTTTTGACAGTTTTTAATCAACTTGAATTTCATCATCTGCTACGTAGTCCCACTTTTCTACATTTTTATGTATCTACAATAACAAGGTGCCAAAGGGAAGCTCCAAACACTTTCAGCCATAGTTTAAAATTTATTCATGAGCAACAAAGACTCGGCTTTCTTAGAGACAAATACCTCAGACATTATATTTTAGGAACAGTTAAGAGTGTGAAGGGACTCAGCTCATACAACTCAAAAGAATAGAAATCATGGTGAAGACACGGTATTCCTTTACACCTTCAAATCGCTGTCAACACTTTCAATAGCAACTTACGATAATTTCAATTTCCAACTCCAGAAATACTCAGAAGAAATAGGTGTCCAAACTTTATCAAAGTTGTACTCCAAGACAAGTGCTTGGCTGTTACCTCATATGCTTCTTCATCAGTTTTATTGATAAAGGTCCAGAGAACTCACCTGACTGACTTGTTCATTTAATGTCTTTTCAAAGTCATTCCATTTTAACACTAGCATGTCATTCCACTACTGCTATGCTGCCACTTCAGCTTATTTTTGCACATAAAAGAGCAAAAATTAAGCCTTCCAATATACAGAAAAGTTGATAACTAGATGGCTATTATTGACTGAAGGGAGGGAAGCACCTTCCATGAGTGTATGCCAGGCACAAGTGTGTAGAAGATGGCATAGTTTAATCTCACATCCTT